CGGGGCGCTGCGGTCTGAGATGTAATTAACGCGTCGGGATGCGGGCTTGCGCTCGGGCCGCGGCGGGTGGGCGCGACTGCCGGACGGACGGACGGACGGACGGACCGGACGGAGAAGTGGTCCGGTCGGTACTATTTCCAGCGCGCGTTTCGAAATGTGTCCAACTAACTATTCGGCGCGGCAGGGCCGCAAACCGCACGCCGACAGAGGGCGCCGCCGCAGCCCACATGGACCGTGGACCGTCAAACGGGACGAGCCAAAAACCGCGCCGACCGTCGGATCCCGACACGGCCAGCGAAATGCATTCGAAATCGGTGAATTGTTGTTTTCTATCGGGTAACGACCACGACGTCTTTGTCGTTTGGGAAAGATACGGAACAGCTTTGTTTTCGTTTCTCTTCTTCTTTTCGCCAGTTTCTCTCCCTTCTTTATTTTTTCCCAGATTATCCGCACCAGTGGACCCCAACGCGGATGCGGCAGGTTCCATTTTTCCGGACATGTTACCCCACTCCACTGGTCGATACTCCTTGCATATAGGTACCTGATGCGACGTCTTGTCTGTCCCCCCCCTCTCCCCCACCTTCTCTCTCTCGACGCTTTTCTCTCCGGGCCTCCTCCGTCTCGCGCGCGCCTCGAGTCCAATATGCCTGCTGCCTCGGCATGGCATGCCATCGGTCGGTGGGGAAGGAAGGCAGTGAACATCTTCATGGTCTACTGCCGAGCCGAGCGGAGCCCGAGCGGAGCCCGAGCCGAGCCCGGAAGAGCCGAGCCCGGGCCAAGAGTGACATGCAGCACGTCCCGCCGGCCTGACCCGCACGAGATTGGAAGGGCGTAAATAACCATGTGGCTGAAGCAGGCTCCAAACTGCGAGTGTTGATGCACCGCCGCCGTCACCAGGGCGTCCGTCAAGCGGCACTGTGCAACGTTTTACCGGCTACTAAAATAAACTGAAACAAAATCTTTAAATGCCCCCAAAAAATGAAAAAATAACCCGTTGTAAACTTTTGCTAGAAATCAAAAGGATAGAGATATGTGAATTTCCCTTAGTGATAAAAAAATTCTAAGATACTTTATACAAGTATTTACGTTTCGCAAATCGGTGGTGACTCACGTCATACGTCGCTCTATCTGTCACTGGATGCTGCGGCCGCCCCGGCCGACTCGCTGCATAAGTGGACGAGCACCATCCATTCACACCTCTACTAACCACACACTGATGACCTGGACGGTCGTAGCCCCCCGACCCCCCTTTTTGAGTAAAATAAAAACAAGTGTGGGAGGAGGAGTGGACGGGCCGAACGGTGGGAAACGCGTGAGTCAGGTAGGCGGAGGTGATTACATCGGTGGCTGGCACAATCCTGTTCGGGTGTCCTACCTCCCTCCTCCTTATCACCTCAGCCCATTCGTCCCTATCACCGCGCGTGAGGTGTTGTCCTTGTCCGTGTCGCGACCGTCGGGTCGTCCTCGTGATTGAGGCAAATTGGTGTGTTTGTCAACCTTAAATCTTATTATTTGTTTTGTCTTGCTGTGCTTGTGCTTGTTCCTTCGGGTCCCTGAAAGAGGCTCATAGGCCTCAGGCCTCTCCTCACGCACATTTGTATTAATTTGGATTTAATCGCAGTGAGGGGCTCAGCCGGGCCGTACCCGTGCGGCGGTGCGCATTGGGTCGCGACCCACGCGTGGGCGGCGGTGGCTGGCGGTGGCCGGCGGTGGCATGTCCGGCCCCTTCCCTTTCCCACGTCGACCCGATGGGTCGCCCGCCGGCCCCACGCGCCGATACGAATGACTTCCTCTTATTGACTCCACGACCATATCATGGGTATCCGTTTGTCCCCCATACTTAAAGACAGAGGACAGTCACTTTTTAAAAGAGACGCGTTAATAATTTATTTGACCTTCTGCCGCTTGAGTCCTAAGCCCCGTCGTCTGCTACGCGCGGAAGTGTAACACGTATGCTTTTCTTGGTGACAAAATGCCCCCAAGAGTCCACTCAGCAGTGATCTACCGCGCCGACCCCGCGCCCCGCGCGCCCCCCTCGTGTAGCCCCATTCTCTGTAGCGCCGTCTCCCAAACCCTCCCTCTCCTCACCCCATCCCCCCGAAAAGAAAGAGACAGAAATTTTCGGGAGAGGTCCCTCAACTCAAGTCGCGGGTCACCTCAAACCTTTGCGTGTCTGTGTGCGTGTGTGTGTATATGGAGAATATTCTGTCAACTCCCGACACAATTTGTGGACCCAAGCGTGGCCGTGGGACTGGCAAGAGTATTTAGTCGAGTTTGTTTGGGGGGGAGAAGCGAGTAGAGGAGCGCACTGTCCACTGTCTCCTCGTCACGTGTCCTCTCTCTCTCTCCCCGGAGCGCCGCTCGCCCCGTCTCTCTCGCACAGTCTTGCCCCCGCCACTGGCGCGGGCAGCGCGGGCCACCCGCATCGTAATTCAACCCTCCCGGCCATACAATGCCGTGTGTTTGTATTGTGCTGCTGCACCTCGTGCTGCACTTGTCCGCCCAGGCGTTTTTTTTCGTTTCCGTGATAGGCACCCTCCTCGACCGTCATCAGAGGGCCATTCTGTGTTAAATACATTGTGAAATATTCAAATGATTTATAAACAGATTTTAGTCGTGTTCTTTTTCCTTGCCCGTAAAACGGTTTCCATTTTATCAATGAGTGAAATATGTTTCCCTATTTCTGTCGCTGTCTTTGTGGACTGTGGTTTGTCGTGCGTTACTCGTGTAGTGTAGTACCTCTAGTACCTCTAATGAGCACGTCACCTCAACTTGAGAGTATTAGTACCCCCTCCCCGGGCTTGTTGCTTGTCGTTAGCGAGTGGATTCAATAGCGGAGATACTACGATCGTAGCATATGCCCCTCTGTCATGTGCCCCTCATCAATACCGCCCGTTCGTGTCACACGGAGAGCCGTAAAATAGGTGTGTTTATACAGCACGGTGCGCTGTCAGCCTAATCAAAAAGTACTGGGACTTCTGACAGTGGTCTCTTAGGTCTCTTATAGCTATGGCTCACCCGGGCTCACCTATGTGGTGAATGATTGTTTTAGAAAAACCGAGAAAAACAGAAAAAAATGATTAATACAGACATATCATGGAAATAAGGTACATCCGCGTTTTTAATCTCCTACGGACAAGAATAGAGACGTTTGAGAACGCTCATATAAGTACTACCACCCACATCAGCAGCCAGTTCGGACACAGCATGTTCTTATTGAATCAAGTTGCAAGATGCACCGTCAGAAATATTGCAAATGCCATTGGAAATGCAAGATTGTGGGCTTAGTGCAACTGCAGTTCCTCTCGATGCATGGACTTGCAAATTGATGTGCGCGTCATTCCGCACGCCCAAGTTCAAGCAGAGATTTCTGTCGGTCTGCCGTGAC